TTTTTTGTCATTAACAGATAGTTACAGGTGGATAGCCCTTGTCAATAATAACAATAATTTGTCAAACTGTGACTTACTTTCAATTTCCTTTCACGAATTTACGGATATGCGATTAATTCACGGGAAATGCTACAGTAACATAGCAGAATCTGAAAAAACTCACGCCAACAAAGAGCGAGGAGAGTGGTTCCAGAAAGATGGTGGACGACAATTGCTGTTCGGGTTCCAGACACCAAATTGACTTCCGTTTACGTCCAGGCATTTTTTGGCATCTTCACTTTCAACTCGTGAGTTGTGTGAAGGTGCACTATCATGTTGAAAATATGCCAATTTTTGATACGATGCTTACGGAAAACTATTCAACATGTCTTCAAGTTAATTTGGTAAAAAGTGTAAATACCTTTTCATATTTAAATTGAGATTTTAAAAGAATAGACCAATAATTTTATCACTAAAAATGCTTCACCAGACATTCACAAAAAAAACACGTTGATCTCGGCTATTTTCATTTAGATGATGATTTTCATTAGCCCAGTAAACATGATTGTGTCTGTTAATTATTTCATTTTTGTTTTGTGCTTTGGGTGATAATATAGTTCTTATTTCCATAGCCTACTACACATTTTTTATCTTCTTTTGACGTTTTACGACAAGAAAAGGAGAAAAACATACAAACAGTTATATCGTTAAACTTAGAAAAAAATTAGGATTTTAAAAGGCCCACAGCCAACTATGATTACCATTTTAAAAAAACATAAGTTGATTTTTTATCTCCTAAATCAAGTTGACTACGACAACGAGTGCTAGTTTATTGAATTGAACGCAAAAAATTCTACCAAAGACAATTTTAACTTTTTTCCTGATTTAAGCAGTTTACGAATTATACGATAATTAAAAAAGTGTTGGCTTCTTGCCTTTTCAGGATATTTCAGGTAGTCGGGTACCTAAATTTTGGAAACGGTAATGAATAGGCAGTCGAATTCTGCCCAATTTTGCCCGTTTAACGGATTCTCTAGGAAGGAATACTACACGCAATACTGAGAACAAAATCCGCCTGAACCATAACCAGCATAACAAATTTGAGGATTGCTAAGCACCATCGGGGAAAGCGAAATTATCGTCCTTATGTTATTAGACGAATGCTTGTTTCTCATTGTTGGCTTAAATTTATTATAAATAATCAATTCACAGTTGATAAAGTTTTTCTTTATAATTTTATGTACAGGGTGATTTAGAATTTGCGTCATTTCTCTGAAGGTGTTGTCTGGCGGTTTTTTAAAAGTACAGAAAAAACAGTAAAAAATTTCTATTTTCATTAAAAACTGTGAAATTTGCAAAAAACTATATTATAAAAACGGCAACAAGGTTTTCAAGGTATTCTGCTTAATTAACATTCTGTAAAAACCTGTTGCTTCGTTATTATTTAAAACTCCGGTAACCATAGATAAATAGAGAAAGTGACAATAAGATAGACAAGGATATACGGTTAGTTGAACAGGAATCGTTGAATGACGGAACCTATTTCGAAACTCATAACCTCGAATTCTTAATTTGTTTACAAATTGCAAAAGCATGCATTTGAGTCTGTAACTGCAATCAAAGGCCTGAGCAGATTCTCGTATTCGGTTAATTAACTCCTGCTCAATTTATACCGGTGTAATCCATTGGTTTAATGTGATCTTACATACGTGGTAGGAAAGTAGCCGGTATTTATTTGGTGCCTTCGAAAGTGTCAGTTGTTGTGCAATGTTCTGTGCTGAAAGGCTCTTCTGCAATAATGTCCAATACTTGTTCCTCTGTGTCTGGAACCCGAGCATCTATTGTCGTCCACTATCTTCCTGGAACCACTCTCCTCGCCCTGTGTTAGCGTCTGTTCTTTCAGCTTCTGCTATGTTACTGTAGCATTTCCCCTGCACTAATCGCATATCCGCAAATTCGTAAAAGAAAATTCAAATTAATTCACAGTTTCTCAAATTATTGTTATTATTGACAAGGGCTATCCAGCTGTAACTATCTCTTAATGACACAAAACACCATTGCCGCTTTGACTTTTCATCAAAAAAATGTAGAAGCGAACTTTTTTAATATCAAAAATTTTCGTAATTTGAAGCAAAGATCGTAATTTTTCTTTTTAAATGCTCAAGTATTCCAATATGCTTCCAATTAAACGTGGAACACTTTTAAAATAATGCTTAATAACAAAGTTGAAGTTCGATTTTCAACTGTTAAAATCTTCTAGAAATTATCGGAAAATAAAATTTCACTATTTTTCTCGAACCTTTCAAGTGAGCCCCTATTACCCTTTAAAAGGAATGACGACGATTTTCAATCATCCTGTATTTATTTAAAATACAAAATCTATTTACTATTTTCACATTTAGCTAATTTCACCCTTGCTGCAAGTGTCCCACATTTACAACGAATCGTTAACACCTGTTGTTAAATTTGGTAAAATATTTGACAATGCGAAATTAAATATCAATCAAATATCTGATAATTAAATAAATTTTGCTTAATTTCCCGATCCCGTACAATTTGTTGATCATTTTAATTTAAGCGATTTAAAATAAACCGTATATAAACATAAATCGTAACACAGTTGCAAAAAATCAGCAAATAGTTGATAAACAGACTTATCAACAGTATTTGCAAAAAGTGGTAAAAACATAATGCTATATTCTGAATCAATTAAAGATTTACCAGTACTTGAAAGTAACGTTACCTTTTACGGTTAAATATATGAGTTATTATTATCAGTCCCGAACCTTTTATGCTCCAGATTATCCCCGATAACCATTTTCAAACGCCAATCATTTCTTTTGGATTGTCTTTTGTAGCGACTAGTGCGAACATGTGTGGATAAGCACTAGTGTTGAGTTAATTTACCGAAAAATTAATGACAGAGTTAAAAGTATTGTCAATATTTCAACATTCAATATAAATATTGACTATGCAGTCGACGTAATTTATAGGTTTTGGAATTCATGTGGGAAATTAAATTGGCTCGAGTGCAATTAATTACCTCTTTTGCAGCAAAAGTGTTAACACAGTATGCTTTGGCGGAAATATTTGACAATGTCGCTACAATAGCAGCAAATAAATGAGTTTTTCCCCGGACGCTTTCAATAATCGCCCCGTCAAACGTTAGTTGGGAATGAATTGCTTGAATCGGTTGTCATTTTTAAGTCTCAATCGTGCAATATCACGAGTTTTAACATTTATATTGGGAATTACATTTTTATAATACATATTTTCATTTAGCATTACATAACATACATTAGTTAAATGTAGGATTTAGTGAAAATTTTTACCAAAGCCGCACCTGAGATTGGGAGTATTTAAGTTTTCTGTAATATTACTTGAAAATTCAGCCCTGAGAAAGACGAGTAATATTATGAGAATGGCGGAAAAGTAATCTCAATATAATCAATATTAATTCGTGTAGTAGAGCAACCTTCACTTTACTGAACTTAAATTTTGAATTTTTTTCAAATATGTTTACATCCATATGCTTTAACTGTGCATTCAAAATTAATCATGAGTTATTAATCACTAGGTTCAGTGAGACCGCAACTAAAAGAACGACCAACATACGTTCATCAGTCTCCACCACCTGTAACAGTGAAAAAACCACCATTAACGACTACCATGCCCACCCCGCCACCTCCGAAGTCGGATACTGCGCTTCAAGCGACTACCACAGAATGCCCTCCAAATACGACCATTATTATGCAAACGAAAAATCCTAATAACTTGCTTAGGTAAACTCATTTGAATATTTCGCATTATATGATTTAAATAATCTTCAGATTTGCGCATTGGAAAGTCAATATTTGAATTAGCTTTGCGTCACATTTCTTAGTGCCCAGCCATCCCATCATAAGAATTTTAAGCGGCAGTACCGGTCACGGACAACAAACGAACTAAAGTCCACCCAGTCGTTTTACATGTAAATAATAAAAATATTGTAAATTTAATTATAAAACTAACTGAATTATTTATTGAGTTTGAAATGTGTTCTTTTTTAGAATTTGAAACAACCAACATCAAAATATTAAAGGTTGCGATTCGTACCTTAACATTATTTACTAATGAAAAGCACATATTGAAATAATATTGTTCTTTGCAGCTGAAAGTAGTTTTGGAAGAAATAGTGAGTTGAGATATAAAATTACACATGATTATAAAGATTTGAACTCACACTTACTCTCTAGTCTAGTGATACCTCTAATTTGTATGCTCATAGACGGAAATAAAAATAATACCAAACGGGCCGCTTTCGTTTTAATCAGCGAAAATAACAACAAAACTTCACAATATGCATCATTCATTTAGATTATCAAAATGACCAACATTATTTCCCAATCAACAAAACAGACGAGGTTCAAATTAATTTCTCACTATTTATGTTTCTGCACTAAAGCATCTACTTGAAAAAAATAGCATCAGTTATTTAGCGATTAAAATTGAAAACTCCCCAGCGCTGTGCGGACGATTTTTTGGCTCAACCCTGACTTACCTGCAAATAAAAAATAAATATATAGTTGAGTATAAACCGCGAAATTCATTAGTTACAGCTAATCACAGCACAATAAACTGTTTGCTCTTTTAACTGTGTTTAATCGAGCATAAAGTCCTATAAGGCTGTAGAAGTGAAACTGAATTAAAAATTGAATTTGTAAATAAAAATAATTGTATATACTTTCCTGACTGTGTTTCAATTCCAAATCAAAATTAATTCCTGGGTTTCAGTCATTTATTGTCTTTATTTATCAATTAAAATACATTTTCTAAAAAGGTATGCCAATGCTTAAAGCAGCAACAACGCTACACGTTGATGATGATACTGATGATGGGAAAATACACCGAAACGTATTTTAATTGATAAATAAAGACAATAAATGACTGAAATCCAGGAATTAATTTTGATTTGGAAATAAAAATAATGTAATAATAAAAACGTTCCTCGAAAAAACTGTTGCAAATTTTCTACTTGAAGTAACTGAGTACATTATTTTTGCCGTTTAAACGTTTCGAATAAATCTTTGGTCTAATTCGGAAGTTTTTTTTTTTGGAGACGTGGTATCTGAGTAAAATGTGGTATTTTTGGGCGCCTCTGGGCAAAGTCCTAAGTATCATTCGGTTGCATTTTGTAAGCTATTGTTGTAATATGATCCCTGAGAAGAAATCAAGATGTCCAACTCCGGGAACGTTGGCCGACACTCAATTGTACACTTGCTCCCAATCCATTTTCAAGAATAGCGTTGATCTAACAACTGCTCACTGCTAAAGCCTAATGGGGACGTCTCTCTTGTTTAAAATGTAAATGTTCTACATTTAGACGAGTTCGGGCTTGATCTAATTGACGTTCCACTGATTGAACAACAAGTGGGTAAATTAGGTGTTCTAAAAAATATACGTACAATACTGTCCTTACACATTTTTTGTTTGTTTCGTAACACTGATTAATGAACGAATAAGGGTCCTTAAAAGGTTTTCCTTATTCTGTCTAGCCATAACGAATTTATCAGCAATCAAAGTTTAAATGTACACAAAGCGAGCCGAAACGACGTGTTTTTGTCTAAGCATTATGTGACGTCGCAGGGTATGTTTCAGCTCCGCCACATTCAGCGCTCATCCGTGTTTGTTGTTCGACTTTCGCTTTGCTTGCTTCACAATTATTGAAACTCAAATTGTTTATCGATACTGTATGGTGCCACAGCGTACAAGTACCACTATGTCCACACCAAGAAAAACAGTTATAAAAGTGCCATTAAACGAAAAGAAACGGAAATTGTGGTCGAAAGCAGTTCGGCGGAACTACACAGTTGTTTCTCCAAAAAGTCACATTTATATATGTCTTTCCTTGGAGTTTTTTACTATATTCTTGGTTCGCTATTTTAGTATTTAGTTTTAGTTTAGGTTAATTGAAGAGACTTCAGATGCTTTGATCTGAAGTACTGAACCTCGCGTTTTCGAATTACGAATTATTTCAGTTTTTTTTTTCATTTCTATCATGGAAGTTAATACGAATAAAGTCATTTATTATTATTAATATATTTGTGAGAATTATTTTGAAGTAAGTTTACATAAGAACAATAGTATTTCACGCACAATAGTATTCAAAGTTTTATAGAGTGAAAATGAAGAGAGGACGGAAAAGAATGAAAAAGATGCTGGTCCACATAAATTTAAGCGCCAAAAAGATAGAAAACAAACTATTGCGCCGAGGTACGAGCCGTAGTTTTGAAACTAAATAGAATTAACTTTATAAAGGACGGTTAACATGCAGACATAGGTACCTAGTACATCTAAAACGCCTGACGTAAATTTATCATCAGAAGAGGATAAATTGCACCAACAGGAGCAAATAGAAGATGTTACCAGAACAGATCACTTTGCTGGTCGTGGTATATCAATAGCCTTACAAGTAAATCTAAAACCGAAGTCTAGAAGTAAGTCATCTCAATGCAAGGTTCGCATAGCTACAGTTTGTCAGAGTTGTTCACCTATTAAGTTCTCAGAGATTAGTATTGCATTATCTCCCATAACAGTGGAAGCAGATACGAGAAAGTTGTATTCATCAGAGTCAAGTTGAACAAGTGAAATTAGAGAGTCCACTCCTTTCAAGTTCGGAAAAAAGCTTAAAATTTATTAAAAATTATACCAATGCCGAACACAAGCAATCTTCATTAAAGCACACTTTTTAGAAATCCAAAATAATCCAAAATTATTCCTGGGAATAAATAATGACGCTTTATTTATAATTGATTTACTTCGAGATACTACAAAATTGAATTTTGGAAATATTTATTTGCTTTTTTCAAAAACTCGCCTTGACAAAACTTTTGCTGTCTATGTGATGATTTTAGAATTTTCAGTTGTTCCAAACAAGTACAGCGAGTAGCATTTTTGCAAAATCCCTTCTATTAATAAGCGAGGAGTTGCAGACTTTAATAGTCTGGATGCCACGTGATAAAGTTAAATGACGTCTATCTCTACCTTTCCTTGCACATTTTAGTAAAGTTGAAATATATGTCCCATAGTGCCATAATCTATTGTTTAGAAATTGACATTAAGAAGCCGGAAAATCCAGTCAAACAAGCTCTATTTAGCAATTCAATCAAACAAACCGTATTACTTTACATTTACTCTGTGATTGAATTTATATCTTAAAGACGCTAAGATTATTCATATGCAATATGCAATTTGTGTTTACTAACAAAACCGTCCATGGAATATATGGATTCATCAATGAAATAATTGTTGAATAAAATATATTTTTCTCTGTCTCGTTTAATTGCTTCACGGAATTGGATTTTCCTGTGGAAGTCATATTCCTTAAGTGCTTGAAATACTTGGATTTTGTTAAGAAAATGAATATGTTCTTTAAGACTTGTGTATTGATGTAGACTGCAATAGATAAGTTCAGATCTGCCGTGAAATGGCCAAGAACTTCAGTTTGAGAATTGCTATCTACTATTCATGTTCGATATTGTTAAGTTTTCTTATTGCATATTGAGCCTATTTCTTGAAATTGTAGGACAAAAACTATTTGCAAGGTGTATTTGTATCTAATGTCTGCCTAGATGTGACTCATTGAAATCCCTTAGAGTTTCTAAAGCAAAACGACTTTCAGCTCGTGTAAACCATTTTTTGGACATTCGCCACACTTCAACACATTTTAAACTCAATTAATAACCAAGCAATTTAAATACCAATTTACAATTTGTTTTTTATTTACAGCTACAGCATTAATTCGATTTTAGTTTCTTTGGGTGTCTGAACAGATAAGTTAACGCCCATTTAAAATTCTAAGGTTGATTTGAAAGTCCTTCTTAAGTCTAAATTGACCAGGTTTTTCAAAACGTTAAATTTCCGTTATTGGGGTGGTTGATGTTGAAATGAAGGCACTGTATATTTCGTTTTATTATTGTTTCGAAAACTTTATAATTATTATAATTTGTAATTGAAAGTTCAATATTTTGAAAATAGGAAATTGGCATCTAGTCATTACCAGTCCTACACTACTGCTCTAACAGTGACAATAGCAGTGGGTTGTTTCCTACTTTTGCTGAATATCTTGATATTCGCTGGAATATACCATCAGAGAGACCGAGGAAAAAGCAAACAAAAGCAAATAGAGGAAATGGTAGAACAAGGTAAGTAAAAACATGCCAAACAAAGCGTTAGGAGGAATATCTTCAAAACTTAAATCAAGTTGTTGAAATCGTCATTAAAAATTGCCTGAAACTGGTTGAACAGGATGGTTTTCAATTTGAAATGCTGCCAATTTGTCTTTAAGTAAACGTGTTAACAATCTGTTTAGTAAGAAAAATTAGTAACGTGTGAATTTGATGTGCATTCTAAGAGGAATACTAACACAACTTCAATTTTTGCCGTTGTACAACTTATCTGGCATGGAAGTGATTGTTTTCCAAAAATGTGTAATACCCTTAACACATAAGGGATTGTATAGCTTTAGGCTAATCACGCACACCCTCAAGATGTGATAATGTATAATTGATGTACGGGTTTTCCCATAAATTGCAATAATTACTACTAATTTGGTCTCGCTTAACATAAACAGTAAATTACAATTACCGTATCAGCACTATTGCCATTGAACTAATGCACATAATATTAATTTCATTTGTGGGTACGCACCAGTTTGTATGTACGTATAATATAAAGATGATTGGCTGTTGCAGAAGGATCATGAGATACTGTTAAACATGCAAAGCGGAAAAGTTCAGCAAAACATTATCAGCATATTACCAAATTATTTTATTTTACAGTGATTTCCAAAAGAAGTGTCTAAATTTATTTAAAATTTAGACGTGCGTTTTTTGGAAAAAGGGCCCAACTCTCACTTTTTATTTTTAAATTTTATGGTAAATTTAATTTCACTGAGTAATCTAAGGACTAATTACGACCGTCGACTAATTTTTTTTTTCAAATAGAAACGCCTCCTTTTGTTTTTATTTTGAATTTTCAACTGAATCTTGGTATGATTCAGGTACCATGTCCTATACCTAAACTAAACAGGAATCCAGAAATTTACCAGGTAAAAAAAAAATTTTGCAAAATGACAAAAGCTAAATAAAGAAACTACGTTTTGTTCCACTAGGACCGAAACACAGTTTACTAAATAACATATATTGGCAATTACAAACTTGAAAACGTTCTTGATAATTTTAATAGTTAAATACCTGTGCTTATTGAGGGTGCAACATTTTAAAAGAAGCAATGCGTAATTTTTTTCTATAAATAATGAACTGCTGATTGCCCTGAGTGTAATTTAAATTCCAGGCGGCTGCAGTAGTTCCTCGTCAGAAGCTTTTGAAAAAGCGTACGACACCCGGCAACATTTGCAACATAACTGCAACAAGAGTCCATACCACACAATGTCCAGAGCGGGCAGTTTCAAAAGGGAGCCGGTTCCAAATTATGTTGGCGACTATAATTCTGCAGACAAAACGTCTTTGGCCCAAGTCCAGATGACTGAACTGTCGCTGCAGGAGTTCAATTCATCGCCGCCACCGGCCAAACGCTCTGAAGGTAACATTTTTGTTCCTATTTTAATACCCGCTTCAATAAATTGCATTTATTGTACTTTACTATGGCATTAATGAGCTGAGCTGGTTGAAGTTCGAAACGGAACAACGAATGTTCCGAGTCGGCTTTAAAGTCACATAGTTTACGATCCAGAAGAGATGTCGACATTGCCAATTCCACGCTTTCAATGATAATTTTCGAACATTTATAGTCCGTCGTTTCAGGTTCGAATGGTATCAGAATCAGCTATTAAAATTTTGTATTTTGAGACTTATATGTAACTAACTGTAAACTATAGGGAAAATCTGTAATATTGACTTTGACACGAGCTATCAGTTGAAGCTGCAGCTCAATTTGTCTGAAACGTTGAGGTTCGAGTAGCTTTATGGAGGGTAATTCAAAATTGGCGTCATTCCTTTGATGTTGTCTGGCGATGTTTTAGGAGTATAGAAAAAATAGTAAACACAAATAATTGTTATTAAATACTCAGAAAAATGTGCAAAAACCTATATTAAAAAGACGGCAAGAACGTTTTTCAAGGTAATCTGCCTAATTAACATTACGGA